CCTGCAGCAGTGTAGGTCAGGGCATTGTAGACGCTGCCAGGCAAAGCACCACACGCTACTTCATATGGGTGAAGATTCAGCTACCAACGGCGTGCAGCCTGCACCTGCAACCGCCATGCAGCCACATTCGGCGTCAACATTTGTATCAACCGCTTCGCTTCAAACAGAACCAGCAGCCCTGAAAGCCAATTCGACCGACTACGTGTTGCTTGCCACTGCAATCATTTGCATACAAAATCGTTCGGGCATGTTCGTACCATGCCGCGTTTTGCTGGATTCTGCATCGCAGCTGAACTTCGTCACCGCTCGTCTGGCTGACCAGCTTCAACTCAAACCATATCGCACAAGCATCACTATATCGGGCATTGAAGAATCGCCTCTCTCATCAGACAAATCGGTTGACATTTTTGCACAATCTCGAGACGCCAGCTATCGTGCTGCATTTTCTGCTGTTGTAACGCACACAATTACCGACTATCAACCACACTTCGACTTAAACGCAACAGAGTGGAACATACCAAGCAACTTAAATCTTGCCGATCCACTTTTCTTCAAATCGCAACGTATAGACCTACTCATAGGCGCAGGTCTGTTTTTCGATCTTCTTTGCATTGGGCAAATTAGAATAGCAGATCACCTGCCGCTATTACAGAAGACCAGGCTAGGCTGGATTGTATCTGGAATTCTTTCAAGCAGCAAAGAAAGGCCATTCTGCATTAGCCGCACTAAGCAAAGAGCCCAGCTTGCAGTCAGGCGCTGACTCGCTGTCCGATATTGTTAAACGATTCTGGGAAATAGATAGCTGCTGCGGTCTTTCTTCGATCATTTCCGATGACGACGCACTTTGTGAGCAGCTATTTCAGAAAGGATGCACAAGACTTGGATCAGGGCAATATTCGGTTAAGCTTCCAGCAAAAACAAACTTCGATAATCTCGGCAACTCATACGACAGGGCCCTCCGCCGATTTAGGACACTCGAAGCAAAACTTAATAAAAATCCATCGCTTAAATCACAATATTCGGCATTTATGCAGGAATACATAGACTTGGGTCATAAGTCGTTGGCTTCAAAGCAATCAAATATTCCTCAATATTTTCTGCCACATCACTGTGTCCAAAGGTTGGATAGCACAAACAACAAAACTACGCGTTGTTTTTGATGGACCTGCTAAAACAACATCAGGCGCTTCATTGAACGATTTGTTATTAGCGGGCCCTTCAATACAGTCAAAAATTCTCATCACACTTCTTCGTTTTAGATTCTTCAAGGTTGCATTATGCGGCGATATATGCAAGATGTATCGTTGTGTGCGTATGACGCACCCAGATCAGCATCTGCAATGCATCCTATGGCGCAACAATCCATCTGAAGAGATTAAGGCCTACACGTTGGACACCGTAACCCACGGCACGAAGTCAGCAGCATTCTTAGCTATCAGAGCCATGCACCAATTGTCCTATAACGAGGAGGATGCATTTCCAATGGCGGCCAAAATTGTTCGCAGGGATTTCTACGTCGATGACTTGATCTCTGGAGGCGATACCATAGAGGAGGTATCCCAAATTCGCCAGGAGGTAAAGCAGCTGCTGCGGCGGGGCCATTTTCCAATTCGGAAATGGTGCTCCAATGAACCAGCTGCACTGCATGGTGAGGCAGCCTCAGATCAGGAAAGCATGCTAAAATTCCATGATGGGACTGATGTGGCCAAAGCGCTTGGATTAGCATGGGATCCCAGCTCCAACAATTTACTGTTCAACTTTTCACAAATCTTGGCTGACGAGCCAGCCACAAAACGCACAATTCTGTCTGTTGTTGCCAGAATCTACGACCCGCTTGGTTTGATATCGCCGATAATCACCAGGCTGAAAATATTCCTTCAAGTCTTGTGGAAGGAAAAGCTCGCCTGGGACGAGAGTTTGCCGCAATCCCTACGCTCCATATGGTTGGAGCTTACAGCGCAGATCTCATTTGTGACGTCAATCAAATTTCCCCGCTTTGTATTGCTGCCCAAATCTACGTGGGAAATACATGGATTTTGTGGCGCCCCTAAAGGCGCTTACAATTCCAAAGCTAGAGCTGGCAGCAGCGCACTTATTGGCTGAGTTGCTCGCTAGCATTACTCAGTCCATTGCATATGAACACAAAGTGCACTGTTGGTCTGACTCAACTATTGCACTATCCTGGATACGAGAATCACCATCAAATTTTAATGTTTTTGTCTCCAACAGAGTTGCGCAAATCCAAGAGCTGACAAAAGGAATGATTTGGCATCATGTGCCATCACAGATGAACCCAGCTGATATCCTATCTCGTGGATGTACACCTCTTGAGCTAGCAGAATCAAGTCTATGGAGGATCGGCCCAGCATTTCTGCGCTCTGATACTTCAGACTGGCCAGCATGCGCACCACCTATATTGGATTTACCGGAACGCCGTCGCAAGGTCTTAATCGCATCCAAGCAACTGGATATTTCTTTTAGGTGCAAATACCAAAATTCGTTTAGCAAGCTGCAGCGCGTATTTGGCTATGTACATCGCTTCATATCACTCAAAAACAAGGGTTGCCCTCGCACTAGTGGATCATTGACATTGCAAGACATAAAGGGAGGCACGTATCTGCTCATCAAAGCTATACAGCTCGTACACTTTGCTGATGAGCGCAATCTATTGCTCGCTCAAAAGCAACTTTCATCGAAAAGCAGATTGCTGTCGCTCCATCCGATTATTGATCACAATGGACTCATGCGTGTTGACGGACGCCTTCGCAACGCTGACTTGGATTATGATGCGAAGCATCCCGTCTTGCTTCCAAAGCACCACCCAGTCACTGATGCAATCTCGTCATGTTCTTCCACCACAGGTTTCTACATGCTGGCTCGCAAAGCCTGCTCGCGATCCTACGACAAAGGTTTTGGCCAATTGGAGGACGCAAAACTATCGCTGCTATTCTCAATAAGTGCGTGCGATGCTTTCGTCTTAAGCCCAAATTACTCGAACACATCATGGCTCCATTGACTGCAGATCGTGTGCAGCTTACTCGCCCTTTCTACGTAATGGGGATCGACTTCTGTGGACATTTCTACTACAAAGCGGAAGCCAGAAATAGGCCACCTAGAAAATGTTACATTTCGGTTTTCATCTGCTATGCCACAAAGGCAGCTCACTTGGAACTAGTGGAAGACCTTTCGACTCCATCGTTTATTGCGGCTCTCAAGCGTTTCATAAGCATCAGAGGCAAACCGAATGCCATCTGGTCGGACAACGCCACAAATTTCGTTGGGGCAAAGAATGAACTGAACGAGTTGCGGGCGCTATTCTTTAGCGATCCCCAAAATAACGAATTAAATAACGCTTCCACATCACTTGGAATTAATTGGCACTTCATCCCACCACGTTCTCCGCACTTTGGTGGCTTGTGGGAGGCCGCCGTAAAGGCTACGAAATATCATTTTTATCGCGTCGTTGGAAAATCTGTTCTAACGTTTCATGAACTTCGAACTCTTGTTTACGAAATCTCTGCCATGTTAAACTCACGACCGCTCTGTCCACTTTCAGAAAATCCAGAAGACTTCGATGTTCTCACGCCTGGCCATTTTCTCATTGGGTCCGCCTACGCCACAATTGACGAGCCTGATGTCACTCACCTAGATATTGATCGTTTGGGTCGCTGGCAGCGCTTGTGTCAAATGCAGCAAACGTTCTGGCGCAAATGGAGCACCAGTTACTTGACATTGCTGCAAGAGCGTGGCAAATGGCGTCTCTCTTCACCGAATCCTCCATAGGGCGCCATCGTACTGCTCAAGGACGACAATCTTCCTCCGCTTCGATGGCATCTGGGTCGGGTCGACTCGACCATTCCCGGCAATGACGGCGTCGCTCGCGTAGCCATCATCCGAACAGCAAATGGACTGGTCAAGAGAGCTGTTGGCAAGATCGCTGTTCTGCCCGTTGAGACCACTTCAGTTGGAAGAATGCCTCTTCCAACGGGGGGAGCATGTTCGGAGCAGAACGCTCAAAATTAACGAATATTGGCTGAAATGTTAAATTCCCAAAATATGTAAACAATATTCTAACATGAGTGAAAGTTAATTGCATTCTCACATTGTGCTCAATATTTGCACTCAATATTTGTCCACTATCCATTCTGAGCTTTCGCATGCAGCTGAAGCTGCAGCCGCGGTAGCCAGACTACTCCCAATTTGATCACGCACAAATACACATTGATTATAACGTAGTGCGGCCTATTATTTTAAATTAAACCAAACTGATTATAATCGGGCCAAAGGTGGTACCTCCTCTAAACATAAGTTTTAAGTCGATCGGTTGAAAAATGAGAATTTTTCAAACAAACTTTGGAGCTAGTTTCACCCCATTGGAGCTCGAATTTTCCAAAACCCCTTCTTAGTGCGCACCTACACTATGATAGGATACTTGTGCCCAAATTTCAACTTCCTATCTTTTACCGTTTGGGCTGTGGGCTGTTGACGCGGTTTCCTTTTGTGCCCCAACATATTTTTTACAGGAAAACTCCCATATTTCAGGCCCCAAGAAAAATTTCAAAAAAGCAAGTATGCAGTTTTTCTTGGAGCATACAAACTAAGTTTGAATTTAATCAAATGTAAATTGTAGATTTTTCATACAAACTGTGGAGCTCAATTTCCCCCCTTTGGAGCTCGATTTTTCCAAAATCTCTTCTTATCGCCAGCGTACACTATAAAAGGATACTTGAGTCCAAATTTCAGCTTCCTAGCTTTTACCGTTTGGGCTGTGCGTTGATCACCAATCAGTCAGTCAGGACAAACTGTTTTATATATATAGATAATATAAATTACTAGTATATAGATATATATAGATAATATAAATTACTAGTATATAGATATATATAGATAATATAAATTACCGTATACAGGGTATATTAGAGTACGTCTTTGTTATTGGACTCGTATTTGTGTACATATCAGTTGCTTATACATAAATACTCTCTAACTTTTAATTACAGTTGACTTCAAGCCACGCAGCTCTCCGTTGCCAATGAGTTCGCCTTCGCGCCCAGTCAATGCACATCGTAGCCCACAATCAGCTCCAGTGTAAGTTCTAGTTGTTAGCTTGTATCTCTATCTTATTTCGAATTAAATCACATTAATCGACTTCTTTTTAAATAGTTGGAACGCAAACAACGGACAACAAACACTGCCAAGTATACCTATGATTGTTGACGATGATGATTTTGAATTAGGCCCAGGCGTGCAATATACTCAAGCGACAGGTCTAACGGCATCATCGACAGTCAAACAGGATTCTTGGGCCACACAAATTTGCAAGGAGCGCCAAACACAACCGGGATATGCTAAGCAAAAAAAGCAGCAAATTAAACAACTTCCCATTTGTCAGCAAAATTATGGACGTGATTACAATTGTGGTAGCATTTTAACACAACAGCAAGACACCCAACAAGGAATGGCACCGCAATCTGTAGCACAAGCTGCAGCTATTTTGGAGCAAGTTAGTATAATAGATGACATTGAAAAAAATTTGCTCAGTTGTCCGTATATTTTAGCAAATTGCTGGTGTACTGAGTGGTTCTAGTTCTAGTTCGAACTCTGATTCGAGCAACAGCGACAGTGGATCTGGTTCTGATGACAGCACTGAAGGCGATCAACAAATGCAGCAGTATGTCCAAAGTGAGGCATATCAGCTGCCAAACCTAAGCTTAGGTTCAATATCGCCGTTCTATAACAATCAACCTCAAAAACAACACCAGTCTAAACACTCCGGCATATCCGAATCTAATGATTTATTACACACTGATTTGCAATTGTCTTCAAACTCGTCCGATGAAGGAGATGAGGAATAGATAAATATATGGTTTTCCAGCAATTAAATAAATGAAATTGATACCGAAATTTAAATAAAATTTTTATTTTAAAAATATACAACAATTTTGTTTTGTACTTCTCCCTCGTGAACGCCGAGCAGCCCTGTCCGTGGTGCTATCCATACCTTATACTGATTTGCCGATTTCATCTGCCACAAGCATTGGTGTTTAAATATAAACATGCACAATACCAATGTATTGTTTATGAGAAAATGTTAAATGTAAATGGTAAGTGAGTGCGTGGAAAAAGGGTCGTTGAAACCCAAAACAGACAGACCATAAACAATGTAAGCATCTGGTATCAATTATTGCGATATCATATGCAGGTCAAAGATACAAAACAAAAAAGAAAATGCAGTCCACAAATAAGTGAATTATATACCAATTGTAAATTAAAGCGAAGCTGGAAAATAAGCGAAGTTATTAAGTAATCTCTATATATATAAAACAGTTTGTCCTGACTGACTGATTGGTGATCAACGTACAGCCCAAACGGTAAAAGCTAGAAAGCTGAAATTTGGACTTATTTTTTTTGGAGACTGAAATATGGGAGTTTTCCTGTAAAAAAAATAGGGCACAAAAGGAAACCGCGTCAATAGCCCACAGCCCAAACGGCAAGAGCTATGAAGCTGAAATTTGGGCTCAAGGATCCTATAATAGTGAAGGTGCCCACTAAGAAGGGATTTTGGAAAATTCAAGCTCCAAAGGGGGGAAACGAGCTCCAAAGTTTGTTTGAAAATTCTGAATTTCTGCACGGATCAACTTTAATTTTGATTTTTGTAATCTATAAAAGAATACAAACAAAACTGCATACTCGGATTTTCGAAATTTGTGGTGGAGCTTGAATTATTGGGGTATTAATATTTATTCACCTTTTCAAATGAAAAGTTTGTGTTATAAATTTTTTCCGATCGATTTAAAATTTGGGGACTGTAATCTACGTAACTAAATCTACAACTTTGCGTTCAAGGATTTTCAAAATATGCATTCTACAAATGCAGGCAGAACAAACAATACAAAATATCAACATCTACATAACTAGTATACATACACACACACATACAAGCAGCTGTTCGTGTAGTTGAGTGCAAACGATTGAAATAGCCAAAGCAAAATGTGAGACACTAATGTGTAAATGTACACACATACATATGTACACATCTATGTACATGTACACATCTATGCATGTATATATGTTCATTCGTCTTGCACTGACAGAGCAAGAAATGTTAATTAATTAAAAAATTTTAGCATTTTTAAAAGTAATTTTTTCTTTGTTTAGTACATTTGGCATTGGGGTTTTCATTAGTAACTTTATGCAGCAACAACAAATTACAAAGAACGCAAATATCAAATAGTTGGGGAGATCATATACACACACTCACACACAGAACAAACAACAGTTCGGGTATATGTATGAAAATATAAAGAGAAACATGCATGCATATGTACATACATATGTATGTATGTATGCCTGTGTACGTACATATATAGCGTGTATGTACATTCGTATGTATGTATGTATACATTGGACAATCGAGCACTGTTGTTTGATTGTAATAAATAATGTTCTAGGGTTTTAAGTAAATTTTTAAAACGAAAAGCAACGACAACTGCAAGTCATTGGCTCGCGCATCTTCTTTTGTTTTGAACATTTACGCCTGTTAATTTCAAAGGATGTATATATATAATATATATATATATATATATATATATATATATATATATATATATATATATATATATATATATATATATATATATATATATATATATATATATCTATATATATATATATATATATATATATATATAATATATAATAATAAATACATACTTATATTTGTATATAGGCGGATAACGCCTGCATGAAAAATTTAAATGTATGTACATATCAGCGTTGCCGAACGCTCCAATTTTGGCGGGACGTCCCGATTTATAAATCAAACTTAAATGTCCCGCGTCGAACTTTTCGGGGATAACTCGACCGTACGTACAACGTGCTGAGGAAGCACACAGTTAAGTCTGGACTGGCATTCCGCCCGGTGCGTAACGAAGATATGTACATATGTATGTATGTACGTATAACCATACATAGTACTTATTGTACTATATTTGCTATTTGGAAAATGAACTCTTTAAAAAACTTTAGAGAGCGTCGAAAGAAGAATATCATATAGTAAATAAACTTATGATTATAAGCACATTTTACTTAGCCCAGCAAAGACGGGCAAGACCTGCTAGTTGTGTATATAATAAGCAATATTTTGAATAATAAATTTTGTTCAGATTTTGAATTCAAATGTAAATGCTAATGCATTCAACTAATGTTACAATCTCATTTTTTTATGACTGTGAGATAATTAATTAAGGATTGCCCAAAAATAAGAAAATAATCAAATGTTTAAGAAAGCTCAGAAAAATAAAAATCCGCCGGTGCGAAAGATTTCATTTTTGCGAACTTCCCCTCCAATCTAGCTGTCAGCAACAAATGACTGGCGGGGTTTACATTTGACTGACTTATTCTGTATAAATCCTGTAACGTACTTGTACTAGGTTAAAAAAAGAACATTTGCATTCATATTAGGCCACGAGAATTTGCGGAAACGCCAATTAATTGTAGAGAAAAGTTTATGAGAAACGCATTTGATCCCACTTTGCCGAAATAAAGAATTCCACATATGTTACTTATTAAATGTTAAATTTATTTGCAACGTTTTTCATAATATCATTTGGAATTTTGCGCATTTTCGTGCGTGTGCTTCCATAAATCCAAAACTATTAAATAAATAATTACCAATATATTTAAATGAGTGCTATTTTAGCATCCTTAACTTCTTTAACCAGCTGTAACATTTCTTTAAAAAATGTCTTTTGCGCGTCGAACAGCTAATTTCCGCGCAGTTGTTAAATGTGTAATAACGTGTAATTTCGAAATACAAGGCTTGTGTTTTAATTTCTTGGCAAGGGTGTAATTAGTTATTAATTATTTTTCTCACCTTTGCCACTGGCAAAGAGAACATGTGATGCCAATATACCGTTATAAATAAATAGCAAAATAAGTCGGCAGATGACGAGAAGTTATATACAATTTCATAGTTAAAAAGTCGGGATATGGTAAAAATAATAAATGCGGTAATAATAAAGTGATTTCCGATGCTGCTTAAAGAGCAATTTTCAGAGAAGCATCCAACTCTCATGAATCGACCGCAAAGATCAGGGTACATGTTGGTGTTGAAGCCAGTTAATCTACTGTTCAAAGGGTGAGAAGGAATGAAAATGTTGAAAATAAAAAACCGGGTTCTCAAATATGTAATACAAAAATGTCTCAACACATCATAAAGTAAGTGCGACTAAGTGCGAAATGGTTAAAAATCTCACTAGCGATGAGAAAGAACGTATCTAAAATGCCACTCCCATAGATGCATCTCCAAGAAGGTGTGTGGAATAGCTGGCTTATGAGTCTGTTACATTGGAAACCATTGCATTTCTGGACGAAGGCTCCTCAATCACTCTGATTAATGAATCAATTTTTAAACGTTTGTGACAGAGTGGTTCACAAGATCCTACATGTCTTCAGTGGACAGGCCAGACCACTAGGATGGAAGGAGAATACGTGCGACCCAACATACAAATCTCAGCAGTAGAGCCCACTAAAACGTATTGGTTGAATAATGTGCACACAGTTAAATACCTGGCTCTACTAAAACAGACTGTGGATCTAAATCATTTAATAACAAAATATATCCACCTTGACATACCCTTAAAATCATACCAGGATGCTATACCCTTGGTATTGAGCCAACAGGAAATTGGCAGCACAACGGAAGCTCAGAAAAGTCAAATGGAAAGACCCCATTGCTTCCAAATGTATGCTGGACAGTCCCCATGTAAGGTATGTTAAAGCCACACAACTACATCTCAATGTATCATTGTCAGAGCAACTGGGATGAAATTGACAGAACGATAAAGGAGAGCTTCAGCGTAGACCCGACGATGACGACGAAACTGCTCTTAAAATCGTACAGGATATGTGTATCAAGGTCGAAGGGCGTTTCCAAGTGGGACTGCTTTGACGTCACTGCACCCAAGCCACTACTGTCGTCAGCCGTCTACGCTACCGCCGTTCTTCGCTGCTGCCGTCTTCTACCAGAGACACGGCGGAATTGACCAACTTCATTTAGATATAAATAGCGTAATTATCTTTAAGTAAATCAGTTGTAGAAATCTCGAATAAACAATAAAGAAAATACAACTCATAGTCCACCTGGTTACAAGTGCCGGTTGCGATAGTAACACTGCTGCAAGTTTATGTGGTAGCAGCAACAAACATTCAACTACATATTTTGGTGACCCGACCCCTTATTAAGGATCACAACCTTGAATACGCAAACGCGTTCGGAATGATTGGTCAGCAAAAGCGGCCAATTAAGAGTTTCGTTTGAGTAGCGGTTCTAGTCGTGATCACCACACATGAGACATGATTTGATGTCGGCTCTGTCCTGGATAATGGGACAGATCACACCTCAAAATCAACGCCAACTGAGGCCTATAGTGGAAAAGTATTGGAACCAAATTTCCGACATTCACTTCAAATTATATAAAGATTTTGAGGATCCAGAGAGCTTGGGCTATGACCTAGACAAGTTCATACCTACCGAAATGGCTGTAATGCAAATTGGTGATACAGCCAGTGCAGACAGCGCTCCTGACGACAGCGCTCTTGGCACCACAACACAGATGACAAGACAATTGTCACTGCAACTACCAAAAATCTCAATACCAAAATTTGACGGTGACTATCTGAAATGGCAGCAATTTCTTATCTTCAATACGATGATTCATGAGGCCGAGATAGCCACGATCCAAAAAATGTGGTATTTAAAGGCAAACGTGCAAGGAGAAGTAGAAATGCTTATTCAAGAAACACCATACGATACTGCATTTACAAACAAATGTATCGAATAACGAAAGCAACTCAAGCATCCCAACAGTTGTCTCCAGCACGAATGATAAACAAAATTACGT